TTGTTCAAATCTAAGGAAACAAAAAAAATTAAATACGTCAATAATTCTCCAAAATACCAACATAACTGTTTTTTTGTTGTTTTTTTTCGGGAGGGGTGGGGTTAGCCTCAGCCTTCCATTGAATACAAGCAGTTTGTGTGTTAAGCCACCAGGGGGCAGCATCTATCAATTTGTAGTCGTCATTCAGGACAGTTTATGGTTCTTCTTTTTATTTGACTTTTCAAAAAATGTTTTTCCAAATAACACTTAGTATTTTTCACCGTGTGGTTGGCAGGTGTACTGCAGATATTATACCCATTAGAATTAATTTGTAAGCCGTAAAACATCTTTCAATCTCGGTAGTATTGTAGACAGTTAGCAAGCCATATATCCATATTTTGAATTAATTTATAATGGTATTAATAAGATACATTTTCTTTGACTCACCTCCTCCGGTCTTCTTCAGAGAACCGAGCTGATTGGCTGGTGTCAGACTGAGGCTTAGAGCTGGAACTGCCATGGTGAGATGCACCTGCAAAAGGTCACAACCTTTACTGTTAATGGTGTCATTATGACATAGTCTACAATTTAATGAATGCCTCAACACCACTTAACAATTTTTAGCTGACGTACCCAGAGCCCTTTTTATCCACTCTTACTTTCACTGACTGGAGAGAAGACCCACTTGACCTTCTGATCTCCAGCTGCCATTAAAAAACAGCGAAATTCTGCACACATTAGTGAATGAGGTGCAAGATACCTGTGTCTTTCGGAACACCTGTGGTTGCAGGTGATGTACGTTCTGGAGCTATGTTTGCGACTCCTCTCATTCTCTGAAGAACATCTTCTGACAGCTAGGATAGAAAAGCCCAAGAGAATAAAAAAGAAGATTTAAAAGTGGCACAAAAAGGTTCACAATCAACATAGTTTCACTTAAATTCACTCCTTTTATCCTTTCATTCCTTTACGGATTACAAATGCGGCCAAAGACACAAAATGCATTACTAGCCTTCAGACTTGGAATTCTTTTTCTGGTTCATCATGATAAAAAATGTTGAGTAGCTGAAGACTCTTTATGACTGAATGGACGACGAACACATCCACAAAACCAAGTCATGGTAAGTGAAAAGAGTCAAAGTCATTGTCAAAGTCACTGTTTCTATCACTCACGTCCACTAGTGATTTAAATGAGTTTACAGAGTACATTGACAGCTAAACCAAGGTTAGTAACATAAACACATTGCTACAAAAACTCAATACCGATAATACGTTTTTTAAATAAAAATTAATTTAAAAAAAGGAAGAAGAAAGAACAAATGAACACCACTTGGCTTTGACGAAACGTCTTATTAATGGACAGTAACTAATAAACCGTAATATGGGTTTTTAAAGAAAACGTCTCTATTTAGATGAATAGCAATTATGCCGAATTCCCAAGTAAATTTAATAAGTTTATTTAAGACAAATGTTTTCCTTGGCTGATCACTATGAGAGGAGATGGCTGCTTGTAGAAGTGTTTCACCTGTTTGGCGTCTGCCGAGGCGCAACGTCAATAAAAAACGTTTTTATTTAGTAATGTCAGTCTTCCAGGTGCACAACAATTGTGCCGAATACATCCAAAAAATACAAAAGGCTTCCTTGACGCCTGTCACCTCTCAAATACAATTGTTGGCAGATGAGAAGGTTGGTCTAACTTGTTCGTGTACTTTTTGACTGCAGTTTGGTGTGACAGCCGAGAGGGTTCATGTTTAAATAGCCTCGGGCCGTTCATCAACCTGTCCCTGCATCCCTCTATATTCTGCACACATCTGCTGCCGCTTTGCTGGTCGTAGGCAAAACGTCAATCATACTCACGATGACTTTAAAACCGAAATATACCCTCTCCTATGTAGCAGTCTTAGACCTTTAGCAACATGCTAACGGCTAATCGAGTGTACCGTCAATAGAACGGGATATCAAGTGCTAGCTGAATTAGCATTATTACCTTGACACCGCGAAGAATTCTAACTCTGTCCTCATCGTCCACACCGAAGGACACTTTCCTGGTCGTACTTTCCCCAGAGCCCATGTCTCCCGGCCTTAGATATCGGTTTTATTTAATCCTTGGGGAAAATGATGGACCTACAATGAACTAAATGTTACTGTCCTACCCAATGACATATGTGAGAGATGAAGTCTGGGTTGCCAGATTCTGCTTAAAGAGTCCCCCGATACGAACTGTTTGTTGAAAAACCCAGACCATGCGTGACGATGACGAGAAAAAAAATAATTGTATTATTCATAAATATTGTATTTATGAATGGCATGGTAGGTATGTACATTAAAGTGTCGCTGACCCTAGAACGATTGAGTAATAAACAATTACTTATTTAAATCCCAACTTGGCAACCAAGACAATATTTCAACAGGAGGTGATGGGTACGGTGCCATTGCTACTGGAACATGCGACATTATGATAAATAATAAAAATTAAAAAAACCACAACAATTCGGTTTTACTTTTTATTTTTGTGTTAATATGAGAACTTCCTCCACGACCATAAAAATGTCATTTAATTTACATATTTTTCAAACTTTAAAAATCATCAGAAAACCTTAAAAATGACATGATTTTTTAATCCCATAAATGAAAATGATATTATTCTTATAATTATTAGTATCAAATATAATTACAGTACAATTATTACACCAGCCTTCAGCCTTATATACAGTACAGATTATTACAGTGCAAAAGAACAAAAAACAATCATCAATTTTCCATGTATACATATTTTGTCCATATGAAAATTATGTCAGTCTTCAAATTAAGGTGCTCCTTCAAATTAATTAAAGCCCAGTTAGGTGACAGCAGGATTACAGTGTGTTCATTCTACAAACACATCAATTTTTAAAAATATAGTTTTTAGAGCCACCAAGTAGATTTGCTTTCATAATATTTCTTATAATTATCCTCTGGGTGAGGACAAAACAACAAAACAAGTCTTGAAAACAGACAGTTACGTGTAGTTACAACCCATTATGCAGTGTGATCCAGGACTCCGGGGTGTTGGAGTGAATACTGAACGCTGGATAAACCATCTCCCTAAACACAACCCTAAAGGTATGAAGGTGCTCTCTGCGCCCTTTGATGCTATGGAATGAAAGTGTTCCCCTCTCATAGTCCAGTGCCACCTCAATCCTCAGGGGCTGGTGGGCAACTTCACCCAGAACTACATTACAGGAGCACTGGCACACTGTCAGTTTGCCATTTTTCCACTGCAGCCGCCAGGACACTGAGTTGTGTCCCAGGCGACTGTGGTCACCACGACGAGGGATGTTTTTGTAACACACCCCAATTGACCACATGCAGTTGGGCCCCACCTCTACCACCCACACATGCTCGCCACTTGAGAAACCCTGGCTGCAGAGAACCTGAGGTGCACTTGTAAAACGCTCAGGGTGCTCAGGGTACGGCTGCTTGCTGGGGCTGTACTTGACAGTGCGAAGGTCATTGGACATGATCAGGGTTGGGTGTGCAGTGATGACATTAAAGGTGAGGTCCAGGGGGTCCAGAACAATGTTGAGGGACTCCAAGAGGCGAATCATTTCTCCACGGAAGTCTTGGGTTTTGAGGCCTGTCTGGAGGCGCCTGGTGTTGAGTGGTGCTTTTGAGGGGACATTTGAAGGCACGTTACTCTCGACAACCTTTCTGAGTGCTTCTTCGATTAGCATGAACCTAGAAAGAAAAGAATAAAAGATTTCTACTAAGATCATTTGTCTGTTTTGTGTTTTTGCATTGTCTGTCCCGCATGACAGTCTTCAATATAAGCTGTATTTATGCGTAATTACTTAGGGCCTATCTGCTTACAACTTACAGATAAAACTTTACTTAAAATGTAAGACTTGTGTGTATTATAAAATTGTACTAAAATACATTTAAAGTATCATGGTTTTGATGCCAAAACTGAAAAAAAAAAAAAAACAGCTTAGTGCTGACCCTGAGAAGAACTTGCAGATCGGCCCAACACTAAAGCATTTTAAGTTGGTGTTAGAGTAAATTAACATTGATGCAAATATGGCAAAATACTTTCAAAACTTAAAAATGTATTGCACAAATGTTGCTGTTGTTCCTAAGTTTATTAGACAAAAAACCTAAAACATGCCAGACTGTTCACGGCATAGTGAAAATGTGCAGCGCCGTAACAGAAGAAGTGATTCCACAGCACCATCCAGTGGATACAGTAAATACTTGCAGAGACCGTAAAAAGAATGAACTACAGCTGCAGACCTTTATTGTACTCTACGGTCCATTTTATTTTGCAATTTGAAACATGAAGAGTTTTTAGAAAATGTTCCACTTCCAGAGTCACTCAAAGGTATTGTTGTGTTTCCTGAGCAGTCTTGGTTGTGTTTTGTTGTACCTGTGTATGAACATGCGGGTGTCCGTCTCATAGAGGGCCTCGTTGGCACTTCTCTGGGCATCCATCAACTGCTGCTGGTGTTCTTCCAGTGCACTCACGCCGAGCTGCCAGCTTTTTCGGCGCTGACCTTTCTCCTCCTCCAGGAGCACATACAGACGCTCCCTGAACCTGATCGCAGCACAGTAACACAGCAGGTTAAAGTAGAACCACAGCACACCTGGTCACACAGGTGTCATTAATTCAAATGTGTTCTTTGGCAAGAGGTTATTTTTCCTATAATTTGGCTTCACATTAAGCAGGTATTATTGTTTACCGCTCAAGTGACAGAAAACTGCCTTTTTATTTTATGAAATTCACATGGCAAAGTTTTAAATTAAATTCTTTGGTGTTGTTTTTTTTAAACGTGTTTATTATAAAAGACGATGACACATACATACTGCAACTATACTGGGTCTGAGTCATATCAGGCGCATGAAGTATTGCCCCCAGGAGACACGGTCTTTAGCTGTTGATCCGAAGCACTGGATTAACAGCTAAATAAAATAATATGTCATAAATTTACCATAAACTACATAGATCTCTAAATTAAAGAAAAAGTGGTCCGCCCCCCCCCCCCCCCCCCCCCCCCCCCCCCTTACAGGTTGATCCAGACCGACACCTGCACAGTAGTCGGTGCACATGTTTTGTATAAACAGCTGTGGGACGGTGCAGGCTTTAAATAGAGTTGAGATCACCTGATTGCTTACTAAATATTATGTGCAGCCATAGTCCCTTTATTATTGAATTAGATTGCATTGTTCTAGTTTGATTTGTATCAACCAACCCTATATTTGTTATTGTGACATCAAACCAGTGACAGCTCAGAAGTCTGAAGCAGCACAGAATAAAACATAACCTTTTTTACCCACATGATCTCTTTCATTATGACGCAGAAGTGAGTCATTATGGACTCCAGTAAATGTGCAGTCCATTACCTGTCCACCAGTGCAGCCATGTTGTCCACCAGTGAGACTGCCTTGTTGATCAGTTTGTCACCTATGTCCTCCGAGGCTCCCTGCTCCTCAGCCGTCTTCTGCAGGAGGCTCTCAGTGATGTGGAGCTTGCAGGAAACCACCTGCACAGACGACACACATGTGAAGCAAACTCTTTTTTCAAGTAAATCTGGAATAACGGGTTGAGCTTTTCGGTAAGAAACATTTTTCGATGTCTCTTCTGTTTGCAGGACATGAGTCAAATAGCTGGCGTGACATGTGACTTTCTGGAAGAATGATCCAGCATTTCTGAAAGGTCACGTGAAAACTGTTTTCAACTATAGGTTTTAAATAATTCATTATTAATATAGATTTTTAAACAGCCTCTTCTCCAGCATCCTGATAATTCAAATATAGGATTTTAATGACACAGAATCAGGTGTTAAACAGGTGTTAAACAAACAGGTGTTAAACAGCGATAACACTGTTTCGTAAATATACGAATATACTGTGTGTAGGCTTGTTGCATTGGTAAGCTCATTGTATCATGTATCATATACTGTAAGCTGCCTAAATACAGGTTCAAGTTGCTGGCTTAATACACACACCTGACCTCTACAACAGTCACAGAGTAAACCTGCAGTTTGGTCATTTTGCCCTGAAAAGTGAGCCACAGCTTTATTACCAGGAAATTGGGCTTCATTTTTATCAACCTGATCAGACAGATCAGGTTGTTGTAACCCCGTCCTGTTAAGGTGCTAGAATATTCACCTTGGTGCGACACTCCAGTGCTCGTCTCATCTCTTCTTCTGCCACACTGTAGGTGAGAACATCATGGTTCTGGTGTTGCCCCTCAAGGAAGCAGGTGCCACACAGTGAGGTCATGTCATTGGAGCAAAAGTACTCGAGTGGACGCTGGTGGACAGAGCAGCTCATCATTCCCAAATCGACCACGGGCTCCACCAGCGGGTGCACCTTAAACGACTCCTTCTCCTGGTGTTTGTGTAAGTGCCTGGAGCACAGAGACACTTCACACTTCAGGCAGGTCTTCACGGCTGGAGACTCATCGTCAATGCAGTGGTCACAGAAAACCTCCATCTTTACAGGCTTCGTGTCACTCTGTCTTCTGAAGAGCAGTATGGCAGCCTGGTAGCCTTCGATGATGTTGCAGAGTTTGAAGTTTCTCTGTAGGCTGTCCACACCCTTAAACTCCTCACGACAATCTGGGCAACGCGGAAGAATTTTACCAGTTTTATCAGCAGTGTCTGTCGTCTTGAATATGCAGGATCGACAGTAGTTGTGTCCACAGGGGAGAACCACCGGGTCAGAGTAGAGCTGGAGGCAGATGGAGCAGCTCAGCTCCAAGGCAAGCTGCTCCTCTGGTTTCCACAAAGACATGCTGACAGCAGTAGCTTGGTTTCTTTTTTTTTTCTTGTGTCGTGATTCTCCTCGTTACAATCTCCCGCCCATTGTCGCCGTTTAAGAAAAACCAGGGCTGAGTCTGCTGTGAGAACTGCTGAAATACCGAGCAAACAAGGAAACCAGCGGACCAGTAATATTTATGTGAGTGACAGGAGGTGGATCCATTAACGTGAGGCGGACAACATTCCTTTCCAAGAGGCCTGCTCCTCAGTGCTGCAAGGTATTGAGATCAGCATATGGGCTCCTGTTGTTGGTGAAAATACCCCACACACAACAGTTTTTGGAGAAATTCAGAGAACTCGTCTGCACTAGTTCCACAGTTCCACACTCCGTGAAGCAGGGGTGTTTCAAATGAGGGCTGATTTCCTATTGTTTCAATGCCCCAGGGCCAATTGCTTCTCCTGTGATACTTAGACTATAACTGTTGTTTAAAATTGTCAGTGTCAACCAGTTTTGGACAAATTTAGTCAAATGTATTGGTTTTCTTATTTCAAGATAAATAGAAATGCCAAAGGTTAAATCAATTTTAACCTTTAAACTAAGTAGTTTAATGTTATGTTTAGTTTAATGTTTAAGAAACAGCTAAAGATAAAGTTGCTATATATACAGTATATACATATACTGTATATATATACAGAATTTATCAGAAGGCTCTTCCATTTATTTATATGTATATATGACTGTTAAAATGAGTGGCTGTAAGGGTTCATTTTGGGAATTTACTGACCTGTGAATGGAATATGCCCCACTGAGAGTTCAAACATTGGTAACGCACTAATGACCCCGCAACAAAAAAGATCTGACAGATTTCTGCAAAAATGTGATTAATTGCAGGTAGAAATTATGGCACATGAGTACGGTTCTGCATGTGTTCAAATCCACCTACTGTAAATGAGGGCAGCTGGTGCCATGTACACAAATTGCAGTCACATATGCAAACGTCTCCTATTGACTGTCAACAGACCACAGGGAAACCCTCATGGTTGCCCCGTTTCTTTGCTGTTGTTGTTTTTCACCTTCACCCTCTGTAAGGAAGCCAAAAGAGTGAATTTATGACACTTGACAGTCCCGGCATTGAGGTCACCAACCGACATACAGTAGAGACAGTGGGAAGAGGATATGTACAAAATTACAGAGAATCACAGGTAAAAGTGGTAACCCATCACTGTTTCCAAAATAAACTAAAGCAGCAGACATCCATTCTGTTTTTTGTTTTTTGTTTTTTTTCATCTAATACACAGAAAGTGCAGTTGAGAACATAGCTAATTTATTAACCACAATATTTACCTGTGTCTTTTTATGCTTGAGAGACCAGATAATAGGATGTAGTACGAGACTGTTGATGAGAACAGTGTGGCTGCGCTGAGGTGTGCTGTCAAAGTGACTGATGGGTTCCAGGTATACCTAGATTTACACAAGGGATCTGGCCTAAGCCCGATCCTATATTACCCTATAAACCTATATCAAACAATTTCAAACTAAGCTAATAAAAGTTTTTCGTCTGTTCCGATCTGTTTACCCTCCCTTATTTATCCCTGATGTGAAAAATAAAAATAAGTCTCAGGGCATTTACTCCCACTCAGCCTCCGTCTCCAAGACGGATTTAAAACCATTTAAACAAGCAGAACAACCCCATCTTTTAGTAAGCTGAGAGCATGTGCACACACAGGTGTTCAGGGAGGTTGTTCCACAGCTGAGGACCATAGAACCCAATCGCAGCTTTACCAGGGTCGGTTCTGACCATGGGAGCACTGAGTAAATCTGTCCCTGACAGCATGAGGGTTCTGGTCTGGGGTCTCAGTGCAGTGATGTAAGGATATGACTGTGTGACGAGGACCGTTTTCTTGCTCTTGGTTTATTATCTTTTACACCTCTGACTGATCAGCTTAAAGCCAAATATAGTAGTGCAGGTTGTTTTGCACAGACAGTAAGCAGTTATACCTTAAAGTTAGTATTAACCGCAATGAATCACATTTTCAAACGTGTGGCACATTTCTTTGTTTGAGACAAACGTTTTGGGCCACACACCCCTTCTATATCCTATCCTGGTTGACACACCTGCAATACCCACACCTTAGAAACCCCGCCTCCCCAAAAAAATCTCGGTATGCACGTCAATCATGCTTAAATGAACCGAAAGGACATACTGCATAACAGCAGCATTAACATACCAACAACACACTCACACATTTGGATCAATCTGAAATGGAACAAAGTTTCAATATAATGTGTCATGGTTAAAATCCCACTTAAAAAAACTCTCCAAACAATCATCTCACGTTTTGTCTCACACACCCCAACACTGCCCTGATCCCCACCATTACTGAAGGCAGAGGAACATGATTTACAGATGAACCACATTAACTACACTTAACTACACTTTCTGCTTTGACTTGTGGAAATCTTTGTGTTTGATCTTTTCTGTCAGATCGGTGGAGTGTAGAGGTTGTGAACCTGAACTTCAGTCGTGGGTATCCAACAGAACCTGATGATCAGCATTCCACCACTGTGAACAGACATGGAGTTGTTGTGAAGCTGCAGTGACAATTCACTGTCTTGTCTCCAGTGACTTCTCATAAGGAGTCTAACATTGTGATGTAAGGCAATATCACTTACCACAGCTGATCTGTGCGGCTCAGGCTCAATGTTCAATTTCACATAAAAAGAGCCAAAACGATGAAGATCCTTTAAATGAAAGAACCTGATTTAAAGTTTTGAATCCTCGTGTTTATCATTGTTAGTATGGATTATTTGGATGTGTTCAAGTTCAATAATTAAAGGTTTTCTCTTGGTATGAACTAATTTTTATAAATTAGAAAGCTACTAAATCGAGTCCACTTCACTTTCTTCTAAGGAACTTTCTCATTATTTCTTTGGTTTTGAAATCCTCTCTGCCTACATGGATAATTATTACAGATTAAATGGATGATTGTCATTGTGATAATAATTATTTTAATGTGTTTGTACACTTTAAGAAAAGTAAGTTGTTGCAAAGTAGTTTGAAGAAGTGCTTGATATGAGAAAATAAAGGTTAGGCTCACATCTTTTACAGATGTCACAGATGGACATTGACAACAGTTCTAGTTGTGACAATTTTCAGCCTCCATATTCCATTTTCTCTGAGCATCTTCCTAATACTGTGTTTTGGCGTGCTCAAGGTTGGTGTCCTTTCAAATCTCTGTTTAAGCATTCCACAATTGGATAACTGTTTCTGCATCCTGTTTACTGGCAGTCGCATACGGCCTTAACAGTGATTAAATCACTGATGTATCCTGCATATGCATTTCTATTACCACTTCTTGTTCTATTCGTGTTGTAAGTGTAAAACACTCAGGATCCTACAGTTTAGTCTTGTTTTGTTCTCTGAATTCTCTTTGATTTGTGTGTAAAGTAAATATTTAAAAGCAAAGAAAAAGTAAGGTCAAGTTAAAATGTTTGTGCACCTTGCTGTAATAGTATTAAAGTGGTGACTCGATTCAATTGTTTATTCTGGTGTGACGTTGTTCAGGAATTTCCTTCGGTAACCAGCAGATGGAGACAAAGGCCTTTTTAATATTATAATCTGAACGCATTTATCGTAAACGATCTTCTCTGTAGACTTCCACTGATCACCATTACAGCAGAAACTAAATATTATTTAATGTAAATTCATTGTATTTTCTTCTGCTAGATAGAACTAGTTGTTACCCGCCTGTCACAGAACCAAATTCAGCCCACCACACAGACAGACAGGCCCACATGGCTCTGGTTGTGTTCTTACACACAAATCAGGAATGAAAGAACAACAGGGACAGCACAGGACTGTGAGGATGAGCAGGCTAATTCCCTGTTTGTTTTACATGCACTGGATAATTACCTTTACAGATTATTGCAATCTCTAAAAACACAACTGTGTTAAACTATAACAGTGATAGTCGCAGGTCGAATCCGGCCTGTTGAACCGTCCAATTCAGCCTGCGAATGGTGAGGATCTAAGAGAAAATACCGTGTGGTCCCCACTACACAGACTCTATTTACATTCTGTAAATTTGATTTTTAATTCATTTACTTGAGTATCGGGCCCCTGTCTGTCCAGAAATATTCTGGCCCTCTGACAAATACAGCTGGTGACCCTCTTACTACACATTTCATTTAAAAAAACCACAAACATAAAAAACTGCTATAGGCCCTCTCATCGTCAATCGTTGGCTCACTTACTTTCACGATAAATTCTCTTTTATACTTGCGTGTACACGTGTACACCGTATACCCATGAAGTTTTCAAGCATGTCTGTATATATAAGCTCCACATGTGATAACATTCTCCCATTTCTCATGGTGGAAATATTTATGCAAAGTCCTCATTTGAGCATGCAGTTCAAACAGTCAGGGTCCAGTGTTCTTTTCCCCCTCTCCTAGACGTGCTCGGCCTGCGGGGGCCTCCCCGTACAAAATGAAACATTGTTAGTGAGAGCCCCTCCCCCACCCCCACCCCGAGCCCCCGCGCCGGTAAATGTGTGTTTATATCAAAACCTGATATTCATATACATGTCACTGCTCGAGCTTGGAGGTATTTATTTTGAGCAGGCAGGGGGAAGTTAGAAGGGAGCTGTGATATGTAAATAGTTGTGATCCATTACAGGTGTCCCACTGCCCATTTGGAGGACAAGCAGTCTGATGACGTTTAAGTCAAAAGGAGAAGAAAAGAAGTGACAGGACTGGCCGAACACAACAAGACTGTTCACAAACGCACGGCTTAACGCTCCACTCTCACCTTTTTGCTGAAATACAATTGTTTTATGCAAATGTTCACATTATAGTTTAGATGCAATCAAGTGATCAATTGCAGGATTTTACAGTCAGTTAATTAGTTAATGGAGTGTGTTTAAAGAACAACGATTAGCTATGTAATATAATCTGCCTTTTTGCCTTTTGCTAACAAGTACATTTTGGTGGTAATTTATTTATAAATTAGTCTCTGAAGGAGTCAGGGCCTCACCCTCCTTAAACCTCACCACACGTCACATATGTTGAAGTTTCTGGTCTTTGTCCATCAATTGTCAGCACAATCCAGCGTTATGTTCAGAAGGCCGTCAAGGTCAACTTTTGGGCCACTTTTTTCTGCAGTGTAGACGTACTATGATTTTTGCTGCATTACTGTTGAAATTCTTGAAGAGCAGGATTTTGGTTTTTTTGTTGCATCTTTTTCATCTATATATTTTAAAAGAAGAAAAGGTGAATTCAGTCTTTCATCAATTACTGTTTAGTTACTGATATTTCTTGCTTCTCAAATTTCCCATAGATGTATTTACTTTAAAATGTACACTGTTTTAAAAAACACAAGACCTCTCTGTAACAATTTAGTTTTGTAACCTCACACAAAGGTTTATCGAGTTGCTCTGGTTCTTTTTGCTCAGTTCAGGCTAAAAAATGATTTATAACCACAAACAAAGTCAAAAATAGTCAATAAAAAAAAAAATAAAATAGGTGGTAGGGGGGGGGGGGGGGGGGGGGGGGGGGTCCAGACACTGTATCTTAGAAATATCAAGGAACATAACAATAAGAAGCATGGAAGGCAGTAGACGTAATAATATCTAATAACATTTTTCTGAAAATGCTATAACACTAGTTATTTTTGGTGACCAGGATTTTCCACTTTATGACTCAGATTTATGTTTTTTGATATCAAATATCACAGAGCACAAAAAAACCCCACAAACAAATAAAATTAGGTCTGTCAAAAACAATTTTTGACTTCGGTTCAAGAATGGATTTTTGAACATGAAGACTGTGGAGCTGCTCCGCTATAGGACAATTATTTATCATCATTAACAACAGTCACAAACACAATTTGTGATTGACTCTGGAAGTCATGGCACAGAAACATCAGAAGAGTCTGACCCCATAATGAAGGGCAAAAAGATCCTAAAACAAAAACAGCACAACCAAAAGAAATTGAACGTAGCACAATCCAATGTATGCTGTATAAGTGGTGAATGTAAACAAAGCCGTCAAAGAGTATAGTGGACGTCACAACGTACTCGTCCACTCCATTTGCCACTGACCTCCCATGTGAAGTTTGTTTTAATGCCGTCAGAACCTCGGAAGGATTGAACAAGACTTTCTTAAAAAAATATAGAAGAACGTAACCACAAAACGCCAGAGGATGAGGACGCCGTAAACAAAAGACATCCTTAAGACTGAAGATCTTTTTCAGGCATAAATAGTCAAACAGAAAAATAGAAAAAACATCTTCTTGCAAGGTCACCTCAAAGTGGCCTCAGTACTTTTTTTTAAGTTCAACATTTGTTAAAAAAATAAATTTCATTTTCTAGTGTCTCCATCACAGGGAATCATCTTGTCCATTGAAAACACAGCACTAACAATAGTCCCTTTTCTTGCGGAGGTGTGGCTGTCAGCCATACAAAGGCTTGCCCAAAAGTTTGAAAAGTGAGGTCCACGTTGGACCTGGACCTGAGCTTGTTCTACATGCAGCTAAGTGGATGAAAGCAGCAAAAAGTCCCACAGGCCCCGGGTTGATTCACAGAGCTCATTCTTGCCTTAATGCGATGATTAGAGCCCAGTGCTGCAGTGCTGACTGAACGCCAGCTCTTTCCTCCCTCCAGGTCCGTGCTGGGGAACTGCAGCCAAGTCATTGCCAGTAGAATGAACTTCATTGTCTTTGTTGTTCTACCAACAAAAAAAAACAAAACTCTGTGTTGGGCCATTTTCATCCAATATGCTTTAAATTAATTTGGCACATTAATGTATCCAACTAAAATCTTTTTCTTTTGTTCTTGTGTTGAACACAACCTTGTTTTGCTGTTGTTTATAGGAACGTCATGGATTGTGTGATGTACTGTATGAGGAAATAAAAGCTGTTTATTTATCCATGCTGTCATCTCTTGTATATTTCCGTTCTTCTTGAGTGACTTTGCTGGGAGACCCGACAGCTGCAGAAATATTATTTTGTGTACCAACACAAAAACAAACGTCCCTAAACATCATGACTCCATCTGCCAGGAATGTTGCATCTCACAAATGTCATCGCATCTCACTTTGATTCCAAGCAGAAAGAAGCAGTGCATGGCAAAAAAAAAAAGTTAGTGAACTTTTTCCAAACAGAAACACAAACATTTGTGGAACTTCTCGTACACTGTTTCCCTCCGTCTCTCCTCCCATCTATAAAGAAAGTGGGGTTGAGGAAAAGGGAGACAGGAAAGGACACAGAACCAGGGAGGGGGGATGGTTAGGGCCAGCTTTAGAAGAAATCTGGAACCTATAAACTTTGGGTAACTTCTACGACAAGAAGCAAACGTCACGACCGTTTGATTTGTTTGGCTGCAGGACACACCTTTGTCTCCGCCTACGTCCTTTTGATCGGACCAATTGCTCGAGATTCCTTCTTCCTGTTGTCTCTGGCTCAGCTGTGCAAAAAGAAGTCCCGCTGACCAATCACTGAGTCAGATGGGAGGGAAGCTGAAGGTTTTCACGCTCCCCTCCCTTTAAAAAAATCAGATTGGTGGTTGCTGCCGCTGTCTCACATGCAGCTACAGGGACGGAACATGACAGGCGTTCAGTTGGCCGATACCGTGTTCGCTGACAGAGAGGGAGCTGGAGAGTGACAGGTGGAGATTAACAAGGAAAATCTACTTGCTTGACTTTTATAACATTCTGGACTGTAACGTTTGGATGGGACCAAGTGTAAAGTTGGCGAGAGAAGAAGAACACAGGACAAGGCTGGAGGAACAAAAAGGTAACAGAGGTTGTTCCTGAAGAAGAAGCGTCCACAGGAAAGGACCGGAAAGGACCTGTGTGGTACGAAACATCCACTGGAATATTGGCAGAAGAGAAGGAATCCAGGATCTTCAAGGAGAGAGTGAGGAAAAAAACGTGGCCAAGCATGAGAGAGGAGGAGCAGTGTACTGATGACCACTCTAAGGGAGGGGTTGTTTCTAGCAAGGAGAACAAGGGAAAAATACCTTCCAATGCGTGTCCCGTTGTTGTAGCCACACCAGTGGTTCTAAAGCGGCAGTCCAACTCAGAAGCTCACATAACAACGATAACGCCCATCACATCAGCAGACGAGGGCAGGGTCAAACCAGGAGATGGCATTCAGATCTTCACCCCAACTGGACCTAAAAGACTCAAGAAGAGTCCTCAACACCGGTCACCTTCCTCAGGTCCATCCCTTTCTCCTGGTCCTGGTCCCAGTCCTGGAAGCCTGTCAGGCCTGGAGGACCCACACGCCCAGAGAGTGATTGCCAACATCAGGGAGCGCCAGCGGACACAGTCTCTGAATGAAGCCTTTGCTTCACTGCGTAAGATAATCCCCACACTACCCAGTGACAAACTGAGCAAAATCCAGACCCTTAAACTGGCGTCACGCTACATTGACTTCCTCTACCAGGTACTGCAGAGCGACGAGATGGACACTAAACTGGCCGGCTGTAACTACCTGGCGCATGAAAGACTGAGCTATGCCTTCTCTGTCTGGAGGATGGAAGGAGCCTGGTCCAGCATGTCAGCTGGTCACTAACACGGTCGGAACCAGAGATTTATCTGTAGACGGAAAAACCTGAAAACTGGAGTGAATGTTCCCGGTGACTTTTTGAAGAACAGTTCTGAGCCCGCATTCTCTTACGGTTGTCCAAGACGTAAATGTAAATGTGTGTGTGATTTCAGCAGTTGGGGGAATTCTTTACAATTTCTTTAATGTTGTTTCTTTTGTTTGTTTGTTTGTTGACAACAACTCAGTTTACACTTTTCAGCACAGAAGAAATATCACTTTTCCGCAGCTTTCTACTTGAGGTGAAAATCCCACATTTTGGATCAAATGCCATTTCTGGGGGGGAAAAGGGAGAGTGATGGCCAACCAGGAGTTCAGATTCTTGACAAAGACAAATCAGCTAGAACCAAACCACCAACCTCCAGGTTAGAGGATAACCACCCCTGCCCACTGAGCCAAAAACATCCTGACACAGATTGCAGAAAGGGCAGCGCAGAAAAAAACACCAGACATTTTTTAATTCTTTCACAGTTTCAGCTTCTTTACATCGCTGTGAACAATTGTCACCGTCCTCAGCAGCTCCATTATAGTCATAGGTATGCATATATTTTCACCTACATAATAATGTATTTATTTCACCTCATTTCTGACCTGACAATTCAATTTAGTCCGAAACTGGAAACACATACAGATCAGACCTTTGACTTTTCCATAACTCCTCAGCTTCAATTTTGTCTAAGAATTCGATATGTACCCAAGATTTCTGACCACCCTTTGAACCCAAGTGTCAGTGGAAAAGAAGCTGCAGGCAGCTGTCATCCCAAATTAGGTTTCTCTTTCTTATTCTAAAACCAAGAATCTTTTATTTCTTCCAGAGCCAAAAAAAGTCTCATCACCAAATTCTTTCCTCTCATTTCGGCCCTAAATTTTGCTTGCATTGCACGAAAGCCTTGATACAGTGAACTGACGAGGAGGCATAATGAAAACAAACGGTTTCTAAGAGCCATGAATCATCTGTGTCACCATCAAAGAGGAGGCTGATGTTGCTCCCTGCTGGGCCTCCATATACCACCAGGAGTGACAGAGGAGGTGAGAGCTGATTTATACACACACAAATGAGCAGAAAACCACCGGGGAAGTGCTGAGAAAACGTGCTGAAAAAGCAACCAGACTGACCTTTTTTGTACAAAAATCCTCAACTATAATTCACAATATTACATTTTTTTAAACTGTTGTTCCTCCAATTTTGGGGAAAACACTGCCATCACTAGAAACTAAACTAAACTAAAAGGGGCGTCTTACTGTTTGTTTTCAGCACAAAGCCATTAAAATCCAACTTCCACCACTGCCAACATGCAGCAATCTGTGATTAAGTACCACAGGGAGGTACCGCTAATGTCTGCAGCCCTTCAGTGACTCCAGTAAATCCTGGTCTTAAATGACCAAACAACACTGAAACGCTGGAAGGCAGTTCACATAAAAGAGTGGTCTAAAAATGGGAGGTGAATACAGTAAGAGTGGTTGTTCTTGGCACGTGAACCAGCATTTATTTAATAACTGAGACATGAACACGTCCAAAAGTTTGAGAGCAACATGGTGATACTTACATGAGGCTGTCTTACATGAGGCATGTCCAATTCTGAAACGAAACTTTCTTCACATCATGAATATTTATTGTGTTTTTATCCATAAAAATATCAATAATTTGAGTACTGTGCAAAAAAGGAAGGTTTTACTTGGAAGATTTTAAAGTAAAATAAAAAAATGTCAATTCACCAAGAATAAGTGTTTAATTTTTTTATAGATAAATTGTATTTTTTTAAATAAAGGATTATTTGTCATTGATGATTATTAATTAACTAACTAACTGGCTATCTTACCTTTCTTTTTATCTTCTACATTTGAGCTCAAAACTGTCTCTACAGCTGGAATATGATGACCAAAACAACTCACCTCTCAAACCTCAGCCCGAGTTTGTCAATTGGTCTGTATTTCTGAAATCGTTTGTTTCCTTTACTTCCTGTTTGAAGATCACCTGAAAACGCGGTCTGGCAGCAGATAAGGCGACATCTAGTGGACTTTTCTGGCACAGCACATCTTTGATTTAAAAGAAATACAAGCTCGAACAGTGAGGATCAGTTAGGATGCTACAAAGAGACCAAAACAAACCGACTGGTCATGCAGAAGAAATGTATTTATAAATAAATGTCTAATGGTCAGGGGAAAAAAACCTGTATGCCAAACATCCCATCACAAAGCTGTTTTTTAACAATGTATTCAAGACTCTAACTTGGTGTTAACTACATTTTTCAACCCACACTTTCTTCTCATTTTCTTAAATATGACACTCATTACAATTGGATAAAATTATCTTTTATTCAATTCCTATCCGCCAAAATCATGTATCCAGTATTAATTACTAGTGTTCACCTACATCTGAGGCAGGACTTTAAGACATATTGTTGGCGGCCATATTGGATCACATACTGTTTTACCAAAGTTAAAGTACAGGGGAAAAATAATTATTGTTTCAATAAGTTTGAACTTTACCTCTAAATCTATTAATGACATTTAGACATTTAAAGGTGATGCAATTTAATTGGTCAAAACGTAATTATTACTTTCTATCAACAACCATAGCTTAGCATCCATCAACAGACTAGCCGTGCTTAGCTTTTGCTAGGTGTGGTATTACAGGCGGATTTTTTGGCAGATCATATATACTCACTAATAGGCAAATACTCCAGAGACATGTGATATGTGTACGTACCAAAATACTGGATAAGTCAAACATTAAAAAATGAATTCACTTTAAAGCCAATGCTTGTGCAAAAAACATTGAAACCAGTTCATACTGGAAGTATTTTTTTTTAATCAAGAGGAAAAGTCAATAATGAGAATAAAAAATAGAGAATCTTTCTATACATACACCTGGTAGGAAACTGATAGGAAAAACACAGAGATATTAAAGAAAAGGATGAAACAAAGATTTCACTGTTGTGTTATAGATACAGAGTTACTGCAAGTCCAGTTAGTTAAGAGTCGCCAATACACATACTACTGAATGCATCAAGGCACATGGGTGACATGTGTATTTTGGTCTTGGAATTTCTATGTACAATTAAGAGCTGAGGCCGTACTGACCGTTAGGTAAGACAAAAAAGTGGAATAATACAGAAGAGGTCACTTCAGTATACAACTTACTAACACTTGCAGGTGTGTGCACAAAACATGTACTTTAACATATGTACTAGTGCACATATCGATCACAGGGTCTCTTTTCCCATTTACACACACACACTCTCACACACCACACATACACACACACACACTCATTTACTTCATCTGCTGTGTAAGACGTGTAAGTTGCTATGAGGAAATCTATGCACAAAATGAAAAAGTGGAACTCCTCCTCCATACGTCACATCTACAGAGTGGGAGCAGAGGTGAGAGAGCAGCAGAGGGGAATGCTGCTCCTGAGGCCGTCTGTGGACCAGACGCTGTCCAGGATCTGAGTAAAACTAACTGAAGACTTCCTGTTTCCTACCTGCTGCTGGACTGGTCAGCTGTTACCATTGTTGTGACTGCACAACACCAGTCTATTTGACAGAAACTTCTAGATTGTGCTGTTCTATGATTAAGTATAGATGAAAACCATTCACCACCATATTGGTGAAAACCAAGGCCACTTCAGACAAAGGTCACCAGGTTTCTGTGTGAACGCAGGCGTCTGACCACTCACATCCGCGTGCGGTCCCACATACAGTACAAGCGGGAGTCAAGAGGTTCTAAGACAGATCATCTAGTTTCAAAAGGCGTCTGATTTTAACATGTTGAGACACATCTCAGACTGGTCATGATATCTCCATTCAGTCTTCAGCTGAGTTATATTTGAATTACTTATTGAGGTCTCTCAACCATCAAAAATAAAACCTTATTTAAAATCAGAGCAACTACTAAATTTGAATGACCAGTGAATTGTTGAGGCCTTGATGCAGGGCGGGACCAAAAAGACATGAAGTTTCACAGTGCTGCCAAACTGTTAGCTGTCTTCCAGAGCCAAGTGTTACTACCTGATTTAACACACAATTATGATGATTGTGTGTTGTGTATGCTGTGAGGTTCGAATATTGAAAATGTGAAGATCTGTACAAAAGGCCACTGCAAGAAGAAGTCGCTGCTCTTTTCAATACAAAGGCAATAAAAACTAAAATCAGCACCAAGTAGTGAGTAGTGACTCACTCCTGCTTGAACAAACTCAGCCCTTGGTGGATGCTCCTTTCACACTGAATCTTATGAAACAATGAAAGTTTTTTCATTGATATCTCGAAAACAGATTGAATGCAGAACCAAACTAGACATTTGGGTTTAAAGGCAGTTCTGGAGGAAGTGCAACAACAATCCTGGAAAAGAGGTCCATGAGTGCGTACTGTCAAAACCCATCTGTTTGAATGCAGAACTGAATGTGGCGGATAGTCAGACTGTAGTTAAAGTATTACTTGATGCATCTCAGTTACATTAGAGAGGTTGTCAGTAAGTGAGCCCTTAGTGTCCAGATGTTGTGTTGACATCAGAATATCTTTAAGAAAATGTACATTTGGTGAAACAAACCTAGTGCACAAACAAACGTTGCTACATTAGAACCAAAGAGCACAACGGCTACGAGCCCATGGATCGGAACGATCAGAAATCAAACCAGAACCAAGTCCGTGACCAGAAAACTGTTCACCCTGTTGACGATCAGACATCAGGACCTGTTATGTTCCACCTCTCATCCAAGATGCTTCTTCAAAAGGAGATGAGGGCTGAAACATCTCAGAGGAACTTGAATAATAAAAAAATCTAAATTCTAGCCAGACTTCGACTTACAGGCTCCAACCAACAAAAATGAGTCAAACAGCTGCTCAACACAAAAAATCACAAAATTGACAAATAAGCACAAATACAACACATTAGTCCTGTTAACTTGGTACTGACAAGACCTGGACCTGCGTTTAAGACTGTGAAACATTTAAAGTCTGCTCATGGAATCCACAGGTTGTCATCTTTACAAAAAAAAAAAAGCAGAGTCACTGTAAGAGCACTTTTGAACTGATCAGTTTGCCAAATGCAGGCTGTTTTAAGGCAGGTTCTTCTGGGTGATGAAGTCCATGAAGTCCATTACCACTGAAGTCACCGACGTACAGACCAACAGAATGCTCCTCTGTGGTGTCACGGTGGGAGGAATGATCCTTTTTTTGCCTCTAATATAAAACAGTCATACAGTATACAACACCAGTGGTACGTCAGCATCGCTCTGTACATGTGTGTGTGTGTGTGTGTGTAGGTTTAAAGTGTATGTGTGTGCATGTAAGACAGGGAAAAGGAGTGAAGAAAAAGTTGACGTTACAGTATTTGTGCATTCCTAAAATGAGTTGAAATTTAAAGGATGGAAACAAAACCAACGGCTTTACATCCAGATTTTTAAAAACTCTAAATAACAAAGACAGGAGTGTCTGTGTGTGTGTGTGTGTGTGTGTGTTGTCTTCTCCCAGAGCTTTGGAATCTTTTTATATGGTTCACATTATGGAATGAACAGTGCAAAAAAAACAACAAGGACTTCAGCCCTTTGTCTTTGTTTCTTCAAAACCACAGTTGTCCACGTCGTGTCTTCATTTGTCTCTGTTTTATCTCTGAGTTTCTTTGTCTTCGTCTCCTGTTAGTGGTTAAGTTGACTTTTGTGACATCATTAAAAACACACCATCATCTGTGTCTTCTTCTCTTCATCTAAAAAAAAATCTTTCTTTCTTTTTTGTTTGTTTTGCAGGATTATCCACGAGGATTCAGAGTAGAGTAGATCACATGACCTGATGTTCTACAGCAGGTTCTCACTGAAGCAGCCGGGCTGGACCCCACTGTGTGTCGGCTGCTTCACCTCTGACCTGTGGCAGTAAAGGAATGGATTCAATGTTGGGGAGTTCTCTCTGCTCTGAACACAGTTGTTGGTCCTTCCTTTAAGGCAACAAACGGCTGCTGGTGATTCTGTAGTGATTCTAGAAGAATCTGAGCTCCACTCCTAAACTCTTGGTTATGTCCCCTCTGGACGTGAACACAATGAGGTCTAGTACAAAAATGGTCTCGTGTAGCTGTGGTCTTTGGTGAGGTTTGAGAAGGTTTCCCAGCTGCAGACGGAGCTGCTGACTTCATCTGAGCAGCATCCAGACTGTAGAGCGTCAGCATCACAGAATAATGGGTGAACTGAGTGTTGATAAGGCAGGTGTGGGTCGGGGCTCAGAGGCTTTAAAAAATCTCCTATCCTTCAAGGCCACAGGTTGGACCCAAATCCTGGAGGTGGTCTCTGTGAAGTGAGTGGTCGGGTTCTTCTACATGGAGTCACTGTCGTGCTCCATCGGCTCATCAGAGAGACTGAGGAGAAAATGGAAAAGATTCAGTGTGTGAAGAATTCAGCTACAACACTGTTGTCTGTGTAACACGGAATCATGGTCAATGTTTAGAGATATTGATTGATTGATTTATTGGTGAGGTGATCTGTAATACCTTATATTTAGCCACTTGCCCTTTCACTAATCTAATCACTAAAAATATGTAACAAGTTATTAGCTATCCTAGCTTTTAGCTGTGTCGGAGTCATCATCACACAGATTCATTCCTGAGCATTTTATTTAGAAAAAATGTATGACACTAAACAGACTAAACTTTTCGTGACTGACAACTAGTGATGTTTTGTTTTTTTTGGGTGTGTGTTTTTTACCTCTTGCCGGAGAGGACACCCACAGACAGTGAGGCCAGAGCATTGACGGCATCTGTTTCCTCACAGTCTCTTCTCTGAGCAGCCAGGTAGGACAGAGACACTGATCCACTCTGAGCCTTCACACTCTGCCAGTACTGACCTAGAGCACACACACACACACAAAATCAGGAAACCGGCACTATCACAGAAGCAACATTATTAAAACACAAAGAAGAAATCCTGCTCACTTTGTATTTTAATGACGGCCTGCAGCGAGCGGACAGCGTTGGCGTTGGGTTTCTGAAGCAGCACTTCTTCAGACAGCGGCTCCTGCAGGTGAGAAAAGCAACAGTGGACACAAAGAAAAATGTTTTTAAAATATATGAGGAGTAGTTCTGTCTACAAATGAACCAAACCTACAGCTGTGAACATTTATCATCAATAGTCAACTGTGCTGGATTATTATTCCTAATGCTGAGGGCCGTAAAACAGACAGCACAGATTTAGTGCCTCTGCCCGAGGTTGCTTCATTAAATTTCCAAAAACAACTCCATTATGTCAGACCATCATTCCATACCTGTATACCCAGAAGAGCACTGACACAGGCCTCAGACGCATCACAGATCCCTGTCAGGTCATGACCTCCCTCCAGGGCCAGAACGACACGACCGCCTGCGAGAGACATCAGCTGACGGGTCAGGAAGCTGAAACCTGCGGTGAACAAACAGCCAGAGGAAAGTTAACGGAATAAAACTTTTTTTATTCCTTTTCTTTAATGTGAAGCCCGGAGGACGTCTCCAGTCCACTGTGTCAAAGTGAGAGAACTACACTTACACTTGGCCGAGACCTTGTATCCTCCCAGAGGAGCTGGGTTTCCTTCTGCCGCGTCAAATCCGGCCGACACCAGGACGACGTCAGGGCTGAACTCCTGAGCGATGGGCATCACCACAGACCTGCAGACACACACAGGCGTTTGTCATGTGAGGAGGGAGCTAAGAATGAAGAACATGTGTCAATATGTCAATGTTTTTTAAACATAATTCTTCTGAGCACTAACACTGTGATGAGTCTTCTCTCCATGAAGATCACTGATTCTGGAGTTCCATGTATTAAAAGCATTTGAATTAAATTTCAGTGCCACAGTTGTAGCAGTTATCAGGCCTGCCTTACACGCAGAAGGTCCTGGGTTCATGGCCCACCGGGACCACTTACTTAATAGTCCCTCCTTTGGCACTCTGTGTGGGTTGCTTAGACTCACACTGTTAATTTCTCTTTTCTTGAACAACTTAAATGAATTATAAATGAAATAATTCGCTGTTGTGTGGAATATGGTGTAAAAACAAGGTGAATAAAAATGAGAAGACAGTTGTGAAGTTGTGTAAAAAACTAAAAACAAATTAATGGGGAAACAGATTTTAGTACAGCTTCATGATGTACCATATAAAATATACGGTATATACAGTACTTTATATATATGTGCTTTGTTAAATAAAGAAGAAAAATAATATAAAAATAATATCTGGTTACAGAACTGGATCATTGAAGTTATATGACTTGTGACCCACTTTCAGGTCACAACCCGCCATCTGAGAAACAATGATGTAAAGTAGGCTTCAAACACAAACCATGGTAATTTCACCATCTGACTTGCATCATGCATTTTATGTGCATTCCGGTTGAAATGGAACAAAAAAAGGAACAAAAAAATCTTCTTTATGAAGATGGTTTGTCAAACATTTTGTTTTTTTGGACAGACTCACTTCAAAATCTCTCTGAGATGACAAATTTCTCTGACCGCTCTGTTAAGTCGTTATCGTGACAAGTGAAATGGACTCATCCCAGACTCAGCAGCTCTGATGGGGCGAACAGAGGAGCATTGTTTCCTCTGAGGAGGAGGCTACACCGTTAGAATGTTCCGTCAGGTCCTGAAGCTGAGCGACATCAAACAGAAGAACATTTCCAACATGCTATTGTTGTGCATCTATAAAGAAGGAGGAAGAGCTTGATGCCGTCCCGAGGTGGACAGAGGCTGAAACTCTTCCTCTGTGCAGTCGGCAGACTTCAAAGTCACGGAGTGGGAGTCTGTTTCCTATTAGAGGCTTGTCACTCGCCTCACGTCACTGACAACACGGAGAAAAGAGGAAAAACAGCCCATCTGGGATCCATTTCACTTCATTATTCTGCCTGGGGACTTTTGAGACCCCCACTCCCTCCTCTTCTCTCTCACACTCTCTCTCTCTCTCTCTCACACACACACACACACACACACACACACACACACACACGAGCCAGCTCACATACTGCTGTCATGACTGCATGCAGATGGACAACATGAGCTCATAGATGAAAATGAGCACACGCAGAGATAGGCTGAAGACAAACATTGTCCAGTGTGAGCACAAACACACACACACACACACACACACACCCATACAACCAAAAGGTCTACAAATGGGAAGAGGTCTTAACATGGATGACATTCCAGGGAAAACCACACAGCGGAAGTTTGACCCTGTTACAGAGCCACACGTCGTTTCAGTCAAATAAACTTCATCAGTAAAGTCTTCCTCTTCATTATCATCATCAGTGTGGAAACTATCCCTGTACACACCCGACCACAGTCCCCCCCACTACCCCACTACCCCACCCTGAACCGAACCTCCACTGTGGAGCCATTAAAGCTGCTGCTCTTCGCCTCAGACACAGTAACTAGTGACAAACTAATGGAAGGACGGAGAGAAGGTGGAGGAGACGCTTATTAAAGATCAATCACAGCGGGAAAAGCAACATGTGTGTGGTGAGGTTAGGTGGTAGCAGTGGGGGGAGAACGAGTGAAGTATAAGGAGAGAAGGTACCAGTGTCTGGAGCTGGACTTAAAGTTGAACTCATAAAACATTTTTACATCAGAAGCCGTAAATTAGTGTTTTCAGTTAGAAACTGTACAAATCATGATGTGGAGTTTCTGTTGTCACTCACGTTTCATAAGGCTGAGGGAGGACACTGACACACAGCAGAAATATCACCAGCTGCTTCTCTAAACTGACCACAGGGTGGCTATTTATTTATTGCCCGCTTCTGTCCAGACCCTACTGCCTGGGCTTTGTTACCATCAACATCATATAAATTGTACTTTGTACTTTGAATTCTGGGCCAAAATTGTGAAATATCAACAACTAAAAACCTAAAAGGCAGATACAAAAAGCAAGTTTGGGTTTGGGGCAGAAACAAAAAGACCCGAGAAATTAATACTTAATATCAGGTGTAGTTAACCAACATAGGAATAATTGTTGACTTTAGGACTGTAATGAAGTTACATTTAAACAACAATAAACATCAGCCAAGACGTTAGCTACATGTTAGCAGTAGCATAAGTCATTTAAAGCCCATTTTTAGGGACAGAAAAGACAGAACGGGTTAAAAGTGAACGTCACACATGTGACAGGGCCTTGAAAAGGTTTAAACCTAAGTTTCTGGCCACACCAATTCTGACACACGGCAAGATTCGCCCCCAGGCCTTGACTGAAGGGAGAGAGTGAAACCACCATCACACCAGCAGCTGTGCAGTTAGACAAATAAATCTCTGGGAACGTTCAAATTGACAGTAATATATTCTAATAGAGTCTGTACAGACAGTAAATGTGTTTGTCGTTGTAGGTACACAGTAACGACAGGAACATGTGATCAGTGATGACAGAGTCTGACTGCTTATTTTTATTAGTCTCTGGGTCACAGCCCACCCACCTGATAGACACATGGTTAAGCCTTTTGGTTTAAATACCGTATAGAAACATAGGCAGGCGGCGTAAATGGGCATGGACTCCCACTCCACCCCCCCTTCTTCCCACTGGATCCTGCATGACTTTGCCATTATTTTCCAGTAACCTTGCGGTCGCCACAGTTGCCTTGAGGGCTTTTGCTGCAGCAAAAAAAAAAAAAAAAAAAAACCCCAAAAATATACTCTTTTGAAAGTTTCCTGGTGCCCAACAACCCCCGAACACAAATTCCACAGCCACAACAAGGGACAATCAGACC